ATAACAGTACCAGCCTATCCCAGTGGCGCTGCAACTCTGTTTTAAAATCTTGGCATGAGCCTGAAATCCGTGTTGGATTTTCATAGCTGCCTTTCCTAACAGAAAGGAGTCCTAGGGGGTGTAGTGTGTTTTCTGTTGCACTGCTAATAGAGGCCAACTTTTCAAACTCATCAGGCACTCCACAGAAGAGAGATGGGAGTCTCAAACCATAAAGATTAACCATCTCTAAAACCCAATGGGAGGCATGTTGAGCCGGCATCAACTTGATGGCAATGGATTCCATTTTAGTTTTCCTAACAGCAGTTTCTCCTCTAACCCTGAAGCTGACCAAATCCTATACCCTGAGGGAGACATTCTTCTCTGAGGTCTAGCAGGTAGCTAATTTATTTCCAAAGAGTCTTTTTCATTATAAACAAATAGATGCAAAATGTGATAGCTTCTGCTTAGAGGATCTGAAGATACTGTTATCCATAGCGCTTTACAACATACCTACAGGAACAGACTTGACTTAGGAAGCAATTTTGCTAACAGGTTACCAGGGGAAACGCTGTCTTTCTGACTGGGGACATCCTAAAGCTGTCCTGGGATCACGTTATAATAAACACGTGCCTTTGACCAATCACGTAATTGGTCACATAACTATTGCTATGAGCAAACAAGTTGGAACTGGCTCGCAGCTGACACTCCAGAGGGTTTTGTCGTTGTTATGTGCTGTTGAGTTGACTGTGACGCAGAGTGACCCCTCGTGGCTCTGAACCTTGCCCTATGCTGAGCTAACCTCACCCTCTCTGACATACTTGACCCCAGGCTGTAAACTGCACAAAAGGATACTGCCCTTCTTTCTCTCTTGGAGTGATCGGTGGATTTGAATCACCTGCCTTGAGTTGGCAGTGCAACTCCTTACCACTAGACCACCAGAGCTCATTATGGTACTACGGTTCTTCCTCCCCATCCAGCGCACGGGAGGTTTATTCACTCACTGCTGATCCAGAACAGGTAGGCTCAGAGGAACTTCAGTTCAGTATGCTATTGTCCTGGGTTTCTGCTAGTTCTCGGGCGATCCACTTCAGGTCATCCTGCATTTTCTTTTCCTCAGTTGCTATCCTCCTTTTCTCTTTTGCCTGCGGGTCCAGGTAACTATAGTGCTTGACTCCGTCAGCCATGCTGAGGAAGAGCGCAGAGTAGCGGGCTAGCTTGATGAGAGGAGAGACCTGCACCAGGGGCCCATCTTTTCCGTGACCTTCGTACCTAGGTACTATTGTTATTGTTATTTGCTGTCAAGTTGACTATGCCTCACGGTGACCCTGTGAAAAATGGCTCCAAACCTTGCCCTATCCTGAGCCAACGTCACTGTCTCTGACACACTGACCCCACTGCCATGGTTACTGTGTCAATTCCTCTCATTCAGGATCTTCCTCTTGCACTGATCTTCTATCCTTCCAAGCATTATGTCTTTCTCCAAGGACTGGTCCCTCCTGACAACATGCCCAAAGTATGTGAAATAGAGTTTAAAAATTCAGGCTTCCAAGGAGCAAATTTATTTCACCTTCTCCATGACAGGCATATTTGGTCTCTTGGCAGTCCATGGTATATCCAATACTCTTCTCTGGTACCACAATTCAAAGGCATCCATTCTTCCTCTGACATCCTTAGTCATTATCCAGATCTCATATGCATAATAAGCAATTGAGAAGACTATGGCTTGGATCAGGTGCACCCTAGTCTTTAGACGGATATTGTTGCTCTTTAGCAATCAGGAGAGGTCCTTGACAGCAGATTTTCCCATGCAACTCATCTTTTGATTTCTTAACTGCTGGTGCCAAGAGTGTTGAATGTGGATCTGAGCAAGATGAAATCTCATTAACAACATCTATCTTTTTTCCATCTAACATAATGCTATCTATGGCCTGGTGGTGAGGATTTTTTTTTTTTTAATGTTGAGACGCAATCTGTATTGAAGGATGCAGTCCTTGGTCATCTTCAGAAAGCTCTTCCAGTCCTCCTCAGGTTTGGTGAGCAAGGTTGTGTCAGCTGCTTAGGTTGCTGATGAATCTTCCTCCAATCCTGATGCCACATTCAATGAGCCCAGCCTCTCAAAAGATCTTTTCAGCATAGTGATTGAAAAGATACAGAGAAAGGATACATCCTTGTTGTACTCCTTTCTTGATTTTGAACCCTGCAACATTTTCTTGCACTGTTCAACCAACAGCTTCTCAGTCTACATATAGGTTTTGTATGAGCACAATCAGGTGTTCTGGGATTCCTGGACTCCTGTTCTTCTCAATATTAGCCACAATTTGTTGTAATCCACACAAATGTCCTCGCATCGTCAATAAAACACAAATAGACATCTTTCTGATATGCTCTGCTTTCAGCCAAGGTCCATCTGACACTGACAGTGATGTCGCTAGTGTCACAACCTCTTCTAACTTCAGCTTGTATCTCTGGAAGTTCTCTGTCAATGTACTGTTCCAGATGTTTTTAGATAATCTTCAGCCAGATTTTGCTTATATGTACTATTAGTAATATTGTTTAATAATTTCCATCTTTGGTCTGATCACTTTTTTTTTTTTTTTGAATGAGAATAAGTATGGATATGGATTTTTTCCAATCAGTTGGCCAAGTAGCTGCCCTCTAGATTTCTTGGCACAACCTAGTGAGCACATCAAAGGCTGCATCTGTTTGTTGAAATATGTCCTTTGGTATTCCCTAGGGCCTTATTTTTGCCAATTCCTTCAGAGCAGCTTGATCTTCTTTCTTTATTACCATTGTTTTGGTACTATCATTGCCTAATTCTCAATTGTAAATATCCTACCTTTAATGCCCCATGGTCTTTCAGCCCTTTATTGTCAAGATCAGAGAGAACAAAAGGAACATGGAGAAAAAGGTCCAAGGCAGAAGCGGGGAAACAGAATTAAGACCAGCGACAACCACAGCAGCTTTGGGTCAACTCCCCCTCCACACTCTATGGTTTGATGTCTGATACCAGAGACATCTCGACCTTAAAGAGCACAAGATATCTTATGATTAGGACTCTGAAAAATATTGGCAATCATTCTACTTAAAAGTAGAAGCTGGCCCTCGGCACTAGTCAGAAGAAACCACTAAATGGAAAAGTAAACAAGGGGAAAGATCTCATAAATACCAGTACTTAGATCCTAGCCCCTTGTTCCTTTGCACTCTGGACAGGGGTCCACTGTCTGACTCTTAGACTCTGTACTGCCTATTTGTAGTTCTTTCTCCTTTCACTAATAAACCCAGTATTAATCACTTCTGTGAAGGGAGCTCTGGTGGCCTAGTGGCAAGAAGCTTGTTGCAATCCCAAAGGCATGCGGTTTGAGGCCACGAGCTGTTTTTTGGGAGGAGGATGGGCAATCTCCTACTGCGCAATTAACTGCCTCTAAAAACCTTCTGGAGGGTCAGCTATGGGTTGGTTCCGACTCTTGGTACATGACACGACAATAAACACTTATGTGAGATTCTGTCTATGGCAATCTGCTTCCAGAGAGAACTTGCTAGTCCTCTCAGGAGCGTTTGACTGTGGTTATTGTCTACACTGCTACTGAAACCAACAGTCATGAATTTTGTAACATTGAGTTCTTGTTCCAACAGTTTAACTATGCACCCCTTCCACAGTCCGGCCAAGCAGCCCCTGCAATTCTGTAACAAGAGATGTTTCCCTGGTCTGGACTGTGTCTATCCCTCAATAAACAACATTTGCTTTTATTTAAGAAGACTTGGTGGTGTTGCTCTACGATAAAGAGAAGTTCTCAATTTGAATGCTTTTAAACAAAGAGAACTTGGGGACCATTTTTCTTCTTTTTGTCCCCTCGTCCATGTTCACTCAGGTAGTAAGATAGACAGATGGTTTGGATTTGTACTTTGATGTGTCAGCTCAAAGGTTCCAAGAGAACATTTCTCTCACCTCAAATCTGTTGTTATCTTAGTACAGCTGTGGCAAAGAGAACACGTTTTACTGGAGATGAGCCACTTTTGGGGTGCCAGCATGTGGGGCTTCCTTGTTCCAACAGGGGTCTCTCATTTGGGACAGTCACCTGGTTGCAATGTCCCAGCATCTTCCTCCCAAAGCTTCCTTGCCTTTCTGTCAGACCCTGTATCAGTTGATTTTGTTTTTATGGAAGACAGCGTGGTTGCTCTGGGGCTGTGACATGTGCCTGGCAGGGCCTTTGGCTCCTAGGGGTAAGGTGTTCTGACTTCTGTTTCTCTTTTGCCACTGACCTGCTGCCCTACGCAGAGGTTGTACCAAAACTTCTCTTGTTCTCCCAGTGAGCTGCACATATCTGGCTGCAGGCTTAGCCCCTTGTGACAGTGTATTCTCCACTGGGACCCTTTGTACCCCTGTAATTCCATGGCCCTTCTGAGCCAGCACCCTTTACGCAAATCCACTCCCATTCCTCCTGTGACCACTTCCCAGCTTTCTCTGAGGAACCACCTTCTCTATGCTCTTTTAAAGTTTGGTACATTGACATCAACCCTAACTGTTTCTGAGAAGGCCAAATAATCCAGGCTGGGACCATCTACCCATTAGAATAAGCCCAGAGCTTCTGGCTAGAAGGAGGTACTCTCTTTCCACTGGGGCTGCTCAGGTAAACTGTTAGCCATCTCTGCCTCCACTGAGGGAAAAGAGACAAAGCCTTGGGCCTAACCACATTTGAAACCATTATTATATTTGCTAGTAAATCTCTCTTTTTGCTTCAACCATTTGACCCGAGTTCTTGTCACCTGTAACCATGAGGGACCTGACTGAGACACAGCTTCCTCATCTGGTTAGCAACTTTGCATGTTTAGGACACAGTTCAAACACCAGGCCCCTTCCTCCTCCAACCCTAAAGCCAACAACATCTCATGAACCTTTGCCATTAGCTACGAAAAGTGAACACTGCGGATGGAGCCAAAACCCAGGCTTCTCTCGAGTGGAGGTTCCGACCTCCACCCTGGCACACCCCATCCCTTTCCCTGGTTTTCAGGGGAACTCTTACCTCTGTCTTATTCCTCGAAAGCACATTGGAATCGATTGGTCCCAGTGACATGTTTGGCAGGACGAGGTTGAGCACTTTTGCAGCAAGAACCTAGCCGGAAGGGAAGACAGGATGGTGAGTGTGTGTGGGATCCACGCCCAGAGTTCCCCAGTAACAATCTACAGTAACACAAGGGAAACAAAAGCCACACTGAGCATCAGGCAGGCTTGTTCCCAAGGTACTGGCCGTTCCGGCCAAGGCAGGCACTGCCACGCTGGCTTCCCTACCAGCTGGGCTGTAGGTGGGCACTGGGGCAGGTGGCAGCAGTGTCACTGCTGTGCCTGCCTGCTCTGGATTCTACACGGCTGTCCCCCTTGCAATCAATTATAGCTTGTGAATTATTTGTAGAAGCTGCCCTAGGTGGGCTCTGGGAATAAAATCACATGGCTGGAGCAGGGCCCTGCCAAGATGCCAGGGTTTGAAGCAAGACAGCACGGAATGGTCTGGAAAGGAGATGGCAATGGTTAGAGAGCACTTGTCCATCATCTCAGCTTCTCTGGGAGAAAAATAAAGAAATAATAATAATAGCCAGCAGCCTGACAAAGAGGCAGCGTGGCAGAGGGGAGGAGGCCTGGATCCGAGCCCGGCTCTGTGCCTTGTAGACCTCAACATTACTGAGCCTCCTTGCTGTGAAACGGGGACCTCAGCACCCTCTCGGGGCCAGAACGGAGGCTAATCTGCAGCCCTGGTGACTGAGTACTTGATATACAGAAGGTGCCTGCAACATGTTCACAGGATTCAGACCCGATTGAGGCGAGTCCTCCCCCTGCCCGCCTCTCTCTCCAGCTTGTGTGTTACCAGGAAAAGCAAGATTCGGACCTCACACCCTGCTTAGAGAGAGAGGCTGTCTGCATTTCTGAAAAGTATGCAGACATCGGGTGGGGGTGGGGGAGGATGAGAGATGCTATTCTGAAAGCAAGCTGTGAAAGGCTGAAATTAGAATCACATAGAAGGTGGAAGCAGACTCAAAAGAGTCAAGGGACACAAGAGAGGGCATATCACACAACTGGACAGCAGCCCCAGGGGCCCTGATGGGGCAGAAGGATTGTGTGAGGTGCTGCTTGTAACAGATGAGGAACTGGGGGCTCAGCGGGAAGGGGAGGGTGAGAGTCCAGGCTGAGGAGACCCCTTAAGCCCCCTGCCTAACTTTCTTTCTCTCACCTTCCCCTCCCCCAGGGGCTAATGTTGACCCCACTTTCTAGACCTTTCTCCAGCCTGCACAGAATGCATCCTCTCATCTCCAGTGTTTCTCAGCCCACCAGGGATCAGGCAAGAACAAATCAGGGCCTTGTTACCAAAGGTGCCAGCCCACAAAGTGGACCCTGTTCTAGGTCTCACAGTGGGCTTTCAGTGAGAATCAGCAGCAGCTCCTTTCCAATCCAGATAGCTTCCCCGCCTCTAAGAGCCACCACACGCAATCCTGGTGTTCTGGTGAGATCTCTTCACCTCAGCTTCTGTCCCTGACTTTGAGGGCCTACTAGCCCAGCACAGACATAGTGAGTGGGCCCTGCTGCTTTCAGCAGGTTCAAGAGTCAAAGCGGTCTGTGGCCAGCAGACCAAGTGAGCCCAGGAAAGGAGGGTCTGGAACTGTAAGAATTTCAAACAAGTTGGGTGTTTCAAACACAGATTAAACATTTGTGGACTCTCAGAATTGGGAGCCTCTCTGAGAGCAGGAGTATATGTTCTCAAAGACTATAAAGAGAATGAATCAATAGCGGGTGAGAAGTGCTATGTGTAGAGAGAGTATGGTTGCTGCCCACTGGTGGCCTTCAGGGGACTCTGAGGGGCTCCAGGGAATAATAACACTAACTTGTTGTTGTTGTTAAGTGCCGTCGAGTCGCAGGCAACTCATAGCGACCCTATGAAGGAGAGTCCTTGACGCTTGGGTGCCTTTCATCCTCTCTCCAGGCTCATAGGGTTTCTGGAGGCAACCTATTACGGAAGTGGATGCCACTTCTCCTTCTAAGACTAAAATATTAGCAATGTTAGTAATTTATAATAGAGCTTGGGCACGAAAGGCTCTTGTTGTTGTTGTCAGAACTGACAACATAGCTGACCCTCCAGCAGATTTTCAGAGGTATTGACCGCATGGAAGGAGATTACCAATCCTTCTCCCATGGAGCAGCTGGTAGAACTGAACCACGCTGCAGTGCAGATTCTTACCACTGGGCCACCAGGGCTCCCTAGTATTGGCCCCGAGAAGACTTATTGGGAGAAACATCTTAACATGCATCCCCAAGTTCTGCAGAGCTGGTTCCTAGACATTCTTCTGCTTTTGGCGTCTCTTGTTCCCTGATCTGAGCAGAGCTGACAACCCCTGTGTGCCCCACTCCATTCAGCACCCACGTGAGGCCACACCTGATGGAAAGTGCACAAACTCTAGCCTCTGGACCAGCCATGCCATCTTCCTGTCTATTGCTGACCCCGCATAGCGCTCCTGGGGACAAGTCCATCACCTGGTTAGATGGCCCTGAGCTGGGAAGAGGCTCAGGGATAGGACAACTCAACAGAGAACCGAGAATGTGTGTAATGCCATGCAGAGTCCATTCATCTCACCGAGTCGACCACCAAGTTGATTTCTCTTTTGCTGGCAAGCAATTTTGGAAGCCCGTCACCTGATTCTGTGTGGACCCAGGAATTTGGTGCCGGTCACCTTCACATTGATTGTGAAGACAAGACTTACCTTCATGTCTGCATCTACACTGTTGCCACTGGCATCTTTTTTAAACACAAGGCTCAGAACCAGAAGGTGCTGAGGCCTGTACTCCCAGAGCTATTGGGAAGATGTTGACCATCAAGATTATTAGCTTAGCTAGTACCAGAAAAGGCAATGTGTTGGCCCAACACAGCTGGACCAGGGCCAGGGGGCTTCGAGAGAGTTGAAAAAGAAGCAATCTGTCGGAGAGAATGGTGGGAAGACTTATCTGGTCCTCTCCCAGCTCAGCACACTTGCCTCTATCCAGGGGAACATTGTACTGCTAAAGGAAGCTTTTAAGAAAAGAACCTCATAGGAAAAAAATGAAGGAAGAGAGCCACTTCCAGAAAATCATGTCTTCAGAAAGTGAATAATACAAAGGTTTGCATTGTTTCCCAGGGGAAACTAGAAAGTGAACGCAGTGCACAGCCCCACCTATTCTTTCACATCTCACAAGCTCCTGTTGAGGACCCACTCCCCAAAACACCATCAGGAGGTGAAAATGCAAGAATGTGTGGGGCTGAGGGTTGGAGGGGGAAAGTGGTGGGCACCTAGGCACATTCAGATACACTTCCAGCCCAGGTGAGCTGGAGCTGGTGGGTACAGGGTAGAGGGATGCATGCAATGGGCTTGGCCACTGTAGCAACTAAGCTGACTGTGTGTCAAAGCAACAGGAGTTCAAGTCCAGGTGAAGGACCAAGTACCTCAGATACATGATGTGTGCATGTGTCCATGTGGCCTGTTCTCGAGTCTCCATGGTGTCACTGTGGGAATCGGCGCACAGCTGTATATAGGCTATGGAAGATCTGAGTATGTGGACTGGAAGGAAGAGAGGCCCACGGCTGACATGCCGCTCCAGGAGCCGGTAGAAGAGAAGCAGATATAAAGGAGACTTCTGGATCCAGCGATTCATTTGATCTTTGGCTTCTTGCCTTCTCAAAGGGCTTTCTGCTTTTTTGCTTTAAGAACACATTCTACCTATTGGGCCATGGCACACTCTTATCTTTCCTTCATTTCTGAGTTTCCTGGTCAGAGCAGCAGCAGTACTGAGCCATCAAGGAAGGAAAGAAAACTATAGGGAACAAGACTTCAGGTTCTTATATAAAGTTGGAGGGGCTGGGAGTCCTACGGAAAGTTAGAAGGCCTCTCCCCAGTCCCCTAGGGAGGGTGTGATTTGACTGGCCTACGGTGATGCCCTGATGCAGTTGTTATGTGTGTGTATGCTTTTATTAGTACATTTGCTCTTATTAGTACAGCACTTGTCTGTCAGTTTGTTGTACTGGGGTAACTTGTGGGTTGCTGTGATGCTTGGAAGCTATGACACTGGTATGTCAAATGCCAGAAGGGTCACCGATGGTGGACAGCTTTCAGCAGAGCTCTCAGATTGAGACAAGGGAAGATCTGGCACATAAGGCTTTTTATAAGGATTGAGATAAGGGGCATTTGGATAGTACTGTCTATTACTCAGTCTCTTCCTCATAAAAGACCCAAGACAGAGAAGAGGGCCCTTACTAGAATATAGCATTTCCAGCAGCAATACAAAGTGCCTTTCTGCTTGCCACTCTTGTTTGTCCCATGCACGTGGGACTGAGTTAGGATGATAGACAACTGGCATAGAGCTGAGCAGAGAGAGGGTCCAAGCACCTACACACCAAGGAAGAGAAGGGACCTATCAGCAGAGGGATGGAGGGAAGTGGCTCACCAATAAAGGTAGTGGAGTCCAAGAAAATATCAATCTTGATGCCCTGACAGCCACATCACACAAAATCTTCAGAGAATCCTGTGGAGTGTGGAGAGATTCCCAAACCCAGCTCAGAAGAAGTGGTCCCATCAGGTTCCTTGAAGAATAACCCCCCTCCTGATGGTCAGGAGTCTTGGTGCCCATTGGATCTGGAGGCCAGGGTGCACACAGCCCAGGGAGAGGCCACACAAGCAGGAGGAGGTATGAGCTTAGAGACTCTGGAGCCAGGAACATGTGGATTTTAATCTTTGGGCAAACTTGAAGTTTTTAGTTTGCTCATCTATGAAATGGGGATTACAGGATGAGCCTTGACCTAGGGAGCATACCCTAAGCAGAACATTGGTTAGTAGATTGAATGAGTCAATTGATTAAAAAAAAAACCAACCTCTTAGAGCAGGGATGTCAGGGAAAGTGTGTGATTTGTGGCTCTGCAACAATGAAACGTTCACAGCTAGAACCCCAATTCTTTCATTCAGCCAAGAGGCCACACCTCCCCCTACCAGCTCAAGAGCCTCTTTGTGGAGCTCCTTTGATCTCACAGTGAACACTGGAGACATTCACAAATGTCTCTTTCATCCTGAAGGTTTTAATGACTCATCAAAAGAATTTTTAAGC